AACAATTTACTGCTTTAAATGTTGTGTTTTGGTAAAACAGCGACTTTTTCGCAAAATAAAGTATTCTCTGCTTTAACAAAAAGACTTCAATTTATCAACAATTTACTGCTTTAAATGTTGTGTTTTGGTAAAGCAGCGACTTTCTCGCGAAATAAAGTATTTTCTGCTTTAAAGAAAAACGTAATATTAGTCGTTTATGCCTCTCAGTACTTAAAATAACTGCTATATTTTCGAAATTTTTTTTGTTTATAACTTTTTAATAAAAAACGAGCGACGGCTAAAACCTTCTGAAGGTCACTCAGGAGGGTGACCTTGACAACATATGTCAAGGTCAAGGTCATCGGAGGTGCTTCCCCTAAACTGCATAATTACCAGAAATTCTTGACAATCCAATAAATCCAAAATGCAATCAAAATGAACAATCTAGTTACATTTAGCTGTGCATTTAATGCGAAACATGCTTCTATTCTAACTAACAATATGTGACTCTAGATGAAGGATGTCAGACAAGTCACTGATCAACCGAAAAATGAAGGTAGATTGGGTCAAACTGAAAAGAAAAGTCATGTACCATTTTGCAAAATTTGTAATAGTTATTAAGTGCTTTATTAAAACGTCTGAGCGAATAAGCGTATGAGAAGCAGTAAACCGGACTGGTAGGCATGTAAAATGTTTTAGTTAAATCTCTTAGCAGGATGAGCATCATCTGATTGTAAGAGGTGGAGTCACGCAGCGAGTGGCGAAAACAAATATGATACGCGAACGCGTGACACGACCGCACACAAAAAACTATGGTTCACCTCTTTCTATCAGATGATACCTTGCTAAAAGATCTATAATAACTAACATCATTTTACATGCTTATCAAGTCTGACCTATCGGTTATGATGCGTTCATTTGCTCAGACGGTTTAATAACTATTGCGAATTTTGCAAATGATACACGACTTTTCTTTTCAGTTTGATCCAATCTACTTTCCCCTTTGGATTAATCAGTAACTTGTCAGACACCCCATATATGGATCAGATTGTGCAAATATGTGTTACATTTAATACAAAGAAATTTTGAATCTTGTATAATGTAAATATCTCATTCGATATAATCGCATTGAATTTAAATTGGGTAATTATGTATATTTAATCTTAAATATAATATGGTAATAATATTAACCCTTAAAGGTTACATCTTAAGTCTCAACCACTTGAAACTCTTCAAAAATTAATGTTTTTGGACAATTTAATATTAATTATTGTCAATTTTTCTAATTCTATTATATTTTTTAGTCTTTTCTATCCCTATTTAATATATAATTCTTGATTTGGTTGATTAAATCCAGCTTTATACGCAATCAAAGGTCCATATGTGAGGTTTATATATGGACTATGTAGCCTTTAAGAGTTAAGCTTTGTTTTTCCTAGCCGCATCTTCTTACACTTTCCGTAATTTTGTCGCAAAGCAACTATTTTAGACTATTTTTTACAAGGTGTAGACTTTTATTATAATTATTATTTTAGATAATCCTTCACAATTTTTGCGTGATTTTTTATTGCAAATATGTACATGAAAGTGTAAGAAATATCGCATGTACAAATTAATCGCCATAAGTCATATCTATTATACTTTTTAATTAGCACATATTTAAACTGTATCAGCATCGTGCTTTAAGCAAAATATCACTTTGTAAAGTGAAAAGGGTGTTTTATATTAGGAGACTAAAAGAGATAGTTTTAAAGTTTAAAGGTCGTTAAAAAGTGAATGAGAAATATCGATTAGAAAATTGTTGGGTCGCCCGTTTTCTCAACATTTCACGATTTGCAATGTATACATTCCTAATAATCGACAATGCTATTTTTGTAATTAGCAGAGCAAACGCTTATAGCAAAATATATTATTATCATTACTACGAACGACTGGGATTTACTAAAACCTTTTCCTATATATTTTACTAGATATGTGTGTACATACACGTAGGGGAGATCGGGGCAAACTTGACACTAGGCTTTTTTGCCAATTTAACCCTCGGAGAACACACAAGGTCAATTTGATCCTGTTTTTTTTTGCCAGAAAAATTTTTAGCCAGAAATATTAAAAATAAAAAAAATAAAATTTTTTTTGTAAATTACGTTTTTTTCAAAAGAACACTGGGTCAGTCTGACCCTCCACACACTTTGATCGTCCACCATTTTAAATTGACGACAGCGATCAACTTGAAAAAATTTCCAGATGTACTCGGAACATTGTTAAATCATAACGAAAAAATTACGCTCGATGAAGCAAACAGCTAAAACAATTTAAAAAGGCCAAATTTCGAGCAATAATAGGTATTGAAATTTATATATTTAAATTACAATAATACAAACAAATTGGTTTACGTTTCGGCCATACTTGGCCTTCTTCAGAACCGCAATTTCATAAATACGTCGAATTAACAAATAAAGGACTCGGATACGATCCGGCGCTACGATTTATTGTCGAATGTTAGTCAAATTTAACGCTAAATCGGTCATCCATTACGTTGCAATGCTTATGTGCGTCCATGCATGAGGTTGGTGCGAACGAAAGCGTCGCCAGACCCTCTTAGTGGCAACTGAATCAAATTTTGAAATTCCGTAGAAACACGTGAATTTAATTGAGTTTGACTCGTAAAAGTGGACTTACATAAGCGGTCGGTACCACAGGAACGCAAGAGAATTCTTTTCATCGTCAATTAGGAGCGAGTGTTCGTAGTTAAAGATCGCAGACGACCGAGAAAACATTCCCATCGCAAGGGCAGAGCAACGAAACGCAGGAGAATTCTGTCCATCGTCAATTAGGAGCGGGTGTTCGTAGCTGTTCGAGATCCGTCGAACTTTTCTACGCGAAACATCGGCTCGAAAACATTATTATATTTAACATCGAGAAATACCGATGTTTATGTTGTTCAAGCTCTGTCGAACTTGTGCGAAATATACGTTCCCCGCGATCCCCGCGCCCTCGAAGCCCATCGATCGCGATCACGCGTTACGAGAGTGCTCCCTTATTTGTCGGAGCACGGAAACGGCTGTTTTGACGCGCGATGTGACCATACGGACGAATCGCGATTCAGCTCTCATCGCGCGTTCGTTCCTGAAAAACAACCCTCGTGAGTAAACGACGAAGTCGCTCGCCGGACAGTCAGTCGTTGCTGAGGATTCCTAGCCTCAAGTCGGGAGCTAGAACTCATAACCAAAAATCGTCGCGTATCAATCCTCGTCTAAAGACAGCACGGCTCTCTCCCTCTTAAATCGCTGCGTGAATCGCTACTCGCTCGTTTCGTCTTAAAGTGCGGATCAAAGTTCCTTATATATTTAAATGTGCTACTTAGCGAGGGGTCCGAAAACTTCCGGTCGTGCTCCGCTCGCGATCGTTCTTCTGCCGCGCGTTCAAGATTTCCGTTCGACGCGTACAAGATCTCCGCTACGCGAGAGGCTTCGATGCAGGAAGCTGAGACAAGATTTCCGTTCGCGATATCTGGCAGAAAAGTACGAACGACTCAGAAGATTTCCGAATCCGCGGCGCACGATCCGTTGTTCCCCCTCGCGTCTTTTTCGTTCTTGAAATAAAGACTATATATTTCTTTGTGCAATCTGTGTTCCGAATGTTTTCATCCTCCTTCCTCCCGCGAATTTACGACTCGCGGTATCCACGCTTCTCGCTCAACTCTGAGCGGAATCCAGATTCAGGGCGACCGTCGTAAAGCGACGCCCGAACAGTAGCTAAAGATCGCAGACGACTGAGAAAACATTCACATCGCAAGGGCAGAGCAACCAGTAATCATTGTTAATAATATATCTATGACAACAGCCTCAACACATCAAAATAAGCCTCGTTTAATAATTCTGTGTCCTTGTTTGAATTTATGCCGTTAGGCTGCTCTTTGATGTGTATCATTTCTGCAGTCAATCTTTTTTTATAATTATGCTCCACTTCTAAGACCTCCACATTGTCCCAGTCGAAAGAATGATTAAATTTGGTAATGTGCTTTGAAACTACCGAATGCTTGGACGCATCTAATCTAATATTAGCTTGATGTTCTTTTATTCTAGTACGTAGTTGCCTCTTGGTTTGGCCGACGTAAGAGGCATCACAATTCTTACAACAGATTTTATAAATAACATTATTCTTAGACGATTGAGCGCTCTTATCTTTTTGGACTTTTATGATGCTGTTTAATTTGTTTAGAATACGGTATCCCACGGAATTTTCTGATTTGATGACCGCTGAGGTGATAATTTCAGAAGTATCTTTTAAATAAGGCATAACAATAAAACTTTTCACTTTTTGCGAACGTTCAGAATCATCATCTATATTATTGTTCTTTATAGATTGAAGTTTTCTCAGTCTTTTATTGATATGCGAGAATAATAAATCGATGGGATACCCATTTCCAAGCAATACATTAATGACAAATATTAAGTTTTTGTTGTAAAAACTAGGATGAGACAATATAATTGCTCTGTCAACCATACTATAAATAGTTCCTATTTTGTGTTGAATAGGATGATTCGAATAGAAGGACAATAGCCTCCCAGAAAAAGTTTCTTTATGAAACCAATCTGTTTATTGTATTATTATATGGTATTTATCTGTATTATTGTAATTTGAATATATAAATTTCAACACCTATTATTGCTCAAAATTTGGCCTTTTTTAATTGTTTTAATTGTTAAATCAATTAATATAAATAAAAAGTGCCGTTTGAATTATTTACATATTTAAAATGCGTGCGGCACGCAATCATACTTCCGTCCACGATGCGTGCCGCGAGGTCAAGGTCACGAAGACGGTTCACGCGGCTCAAAGACTTGCCGTAAAGCCGGGCGCGGTGCTCCTCGCCAGCTCGCCACCGCGGCACCGCTCGCGTTCGCGTAGCCGACCAGTTCGGCACCTTGCATCACGCTCGCGCGCTGGTCGACCAGGGATCGGAGTCGTCCCTTGTGACCAAGCGCCTCGCGCAAAGACTAAAGTTACCGCGTTCCTGCATGTCGGTTTCGATATTCGGCGTCGGCGGACAGAAAACGGCCGTCGCGAAAGGACGCGTATCGTTGACGCTCGCACCGCGAACCGACGGCCCCGTGATGTCGGTCTCCGCGCTCGTGCTCCCCCGGCTCACAATATACGCCGCCGGTGTCGAGGCCGGCGCTGACACGTGGACTCATCTTCGGGGTCTGGAGCTGGCGGATCCCGAATTCAGCGCGTCCGACTCGGTGGATATCCTTCTCGGTGCCGACGTTTACGCGGTAATATTGAAGGAAGGACTTCGCAAGGGGGGTAACCGCGAGCCCGTCGCGCAAAACACGACTCTCGGCTGGATTCTGTCCGGCGCTATTGGTGAAAGTGCTTCGAGTCACGTCGCGCAATCCTATCAGTGCCGTGTCGAGGACGACCTGTCGCAAATAGTGAGGCAATTTTGGGAGCAGCAGAATGTCCCGTCGGCGACTGGACCGCTCTCGAAAGCCGATCAGGGGTGTGAGGAGCATTTCGCGCGCACTCACTCGCGTAAACCTGACGGACGCTACGTCGTGCGACTCCCCGTCATCGAGCTGATGCCGGATCTCTACGATACGCGCCCCGCGGCCGTTCGCGTGATGAAGGCCATGGAAGCGAAGTTCGTGCGGGATGCTCCCTTCCATGCGCTGTACACGGACTTCATGCGTCAATATGTCGAGCTCGGGCATATGACGCCGGTCGATCCCCCAGCCGATTCGACAAAAATGCCCGTCTGTCATCTGCCTTACCACGGAGTGATGAAAGAGACCAGCGCGACGACGAAATTGCGAGTCGTCTTCAATGGCTCTTCCGCGTTGCCGACGGGAGCGACGCTAAATAAGTATCTGCAGACCGGGCCGAACTTGCTGCCGGCGTTGACAGAGATCTTACTCTGGTGGCGGCGTCACCGGTTCGTTTTCGCGGCGGACATTGAAAAAATGTACCGGCAGATCGAAGTCCACCCGGAGGACAGGGATCTGCAGCGCATAGTCTGGCGTGAGAGTCCTAGCGATGTGTTGCTGGAGTTCCTTTTGATCATGCTCACATACGGCCGGCTTGCTTGTTCTGCGTTCCTGGCGATTCGCACGCTCCATCAGCTGGCCAAAGACGAGGGAGTTGAGTTTCCGCTAGGAGCTACCGCCCTTCTACTGGAGACATACATGGACGACGTATTGTCTGGCGCGGACACGATTTCGAGGGCCAAGGAGATCAGCTGGACTGAATCTGCATGGCGGGCGGTTTCCCGCTCAAGAAGTGGTCGGCGAATAAGGCTTCGATACTCGACAAAGTCCCTCCTGAGGATCGCCTTCAACGCAAGCCCCGGTGGTGGCTGCCGAGAGAGAGCCACTTGAATCCTCGGGCTGCGCTGGCATCCGCACGAAGACCAGTTCTCATACTCGACGTAACTGATCCGACTGGAGGCTATTACGAAGCGATCGGTTTTATCTTTAGCCGCTCGGCTATTCGATCCGCTGGGGTGGCTCGCCCCTATTACCGTGTTAGCTAAAATCTTATTTCAGTCCACCTGGTTGCTGGGATTGGATTGGGACTCGCAGCTCCCTGACACCGACGTCCGACGATGGCTCGAATTCCAGGCCGAGCTGCCTCTGCTGGAAACGATCCGAGTGCCCCGATGGCTGAAGAGCGACCAAGAAGGTGTCAAACGCGAACTTCACGGATTCGCCGACGCTTCGGAAAAGGCGTACGCAGCGGTGGTCTACCTGCGGACCGAAAGCTCGAGCGGCGAGGTAGTCGTGAGCCTCGTGGCGGCGAAAACCAAGGTCGCCCCTTTGAAGCAGGTCAGTCTTCCACGACTGGAGCTGAACGCTGCCGCCTTACTCGTCCGACTCGCCGATCACGTTCGGCGGGTCCTCAAGATCGAAGAGGATCTGACTCATCTTTAGACTGACGCGACCGTAGTGCTGGGCTGGATTCGAGGCCATCCGGCCTCCTGGAAAACTTACGTAGCGAACAAAGTGAGCGAGATCCAGCTCACTCTCCCTAAGGCGTGTTGGCACCACGTTCCCGGGCGTGAGAACCCCGCCGACTGCGCCTCCCGGGGGCTCTTACCAAGGGAGCTCGTGGAACACGCGCTCTGGTGGCAGGGCCCTACTTGGCTCCGATCGGAGACCGGTCCGTAGACGGTCCCCTTGGACGACGCTATACCGGTCGACCTCCCGGAACGGCGCTCTCGCGTGCCGCAGCGACCTCGACGGAGGCCCGCGAGGAGCCGGAGATGCTGACGAGGCACTCGTCCCTGACGGGCTTGTTGCGGACGACAGCTTGGTGCCGTCGTTGGCTACGGTGTCTGCGGGCGAGGCGGGCTGCCTGCGAAGATCAGCCCGATAACTCCGTTGGCCTCGCACTAACACGCAAAGAGCTCGACGACGCTATCGTGGGTTGGATCGGCTTGGTCCAATCCAGGCAATTCAAGGAGGAAACGGCGGCCCTCAGAAAGAGCGCTCCGCTGCCGGCGCGCAGCTCCATCGCCCCGCTGAGCCCCTTCCTGGACGAGCGAGGTCTGCTCCGAGTCGGCAGTCGGCTCAAGAACGCCATGCTCGCCTATGACGCTAAGCACCCCGTAATCTTGCCGGTAGCGTCTCACTTAACGAGGCTTATCGTGGAGGCGTGCCACCGGCGGACATTGCACGGAGGAGTGCAGATGACCCTCGGGGCTCTTCGTCAGGAGTACTGGGGCCTCGCGGCCGCACTTTGGTGAAAGGTTGTATTCGGCGTTGCGTGACGTGCGTGCGATGGCGGGCGGCCTCTCCGCAGCCGCTCATGGGAAGCCTCCCTGGCCCGAGGGTAACTCCCGCTCGGCCATTCCTGAACACGGGAGTCGACTACGCCGGACCGGTGTGGCTGAGGACCTCCAAAGGACGAGGCCAACGGGCCTCTAAAGCATTTATTGCCGTGTTTGTGTGTCTATGTTCCAGAGCCGTACACCTCGACGTGGTTTCGGACTACACCGCCGACACCTTCCTGGCTGCGCTGCGCCGATTCGTTTCTCGCCGAGGTCTGTGCTAAACGCTGTACAGCGACTGCGGCACAAATTTTGTCGGTGCCGACGCACAATTGCGCGCTCTGTTCTCTGCAGGCAGCCAGGAGGGCCGACGCGTCGCCGAAGAGAGGATCGCGTGGCGCTTCAATCCCCCCGCGGCGCCAAACTTTGGCGGTATCTGGGAGGCGGCCGTCAAGTCGACCAAGCATCACCTGCGGCGACTGATTGGCGAGGCGACGCTTACCTACGAGGAGATGGCCACGCTGCTGTCTCAGGTCGAGGCGTGCCTGAATTCCCGTCCGCTGCAGGCCCTGACGGACGACCCGGAGGATCTCTGCCCCCTCATCCCGGGCCACTTTCTCATAGGCACGGCTCTCGGCGCCGTACCTGTGAGCCGTCGCTGACGGAGGAGAAAACGACTCGATTGTCTCGCTGGCAACAGGTCCAGCAGATGCGAGACCATTTCTGGGCGCGGTGGTCCCGGGAGTACCTACAGACGCTGGCTCATCGGCCGAAATGGCTCAAGGCCGACATGGAGGTGCGAGCGGGCCGCTTGTGCCTCGTGAGAAGCGAGACGACCCCCCCGACCAAGTGGTCTCTCGCTCGGATCGAGGAGCTATTCCCGGGAGACGACGGACAGGTTCGCGTCGTCAAGGTTAGGACGGCGGCATCGACGCTCACGCGGCCCGTAAGCAAGCTCGTCCTCCTCCCGGACTGCGACGCACCGGGAAGCGAGGAATAATCGCGAAATCGTCATCTTCTTGTCGTGATCGCTGTATATGTTATATGTGTAAAATAAGATTAAAGCAGCATATATCTCCCGCGTACGGCCATCGGCTAAATGCTCGAGCGAAATAGTCGCGTAAAAGAAATCGCGTCGAAAGCAAACCTAGACAATTATAATTTAATAATAGTTTTCCAGTTCTGCGAATACGCGGCTCTCAAAGCGCATACACGTATGCGAAAATTAAATCGTAGGTTGCACCATACGAGGCGGGCGGAATGTTCGCGATCGAACCTTAATTCCGCGTGAATAATCGCGAGGAGAATTCTCGGTTAAGCCTAGCATTATTTCGGGAACAACCGACGTTATTCTAGGAATCTTCGAGAAGCCGAGAAACGATCTCTTGTTTTTCCGCATGTGCTTGCTCTATCCCTTTTGTCTCAGTACGCGACGTAAACATTCGGGACGGAGCGCATGACCACGGCGAAAACAGCTGATCGGTTGCCGACTCCGAAATTCGCTGAGTTCAAATCGAACGACAAGTCAGTGGGTCGGCGACCAATTGGCTAGACTAAAGGTGGAAGCACATAAAATTGCAGGAGCCTTGAGCAGAATGCAGAAGCCATATGCGCATGCGCTATGGTATCTGTAGAGCTCTATAGATACCATAGCGCATGCGCATATGACTTCTGCCTTCTGCTTATGGCTCCTGCAATTTTATGTGCTTCCACCTTAATTGTTCGGCTCGTTACCGGGGATGCGTGACGCGTTGGTATAAGAAGCCGGAACCTCCGCGCGCGCCTCGCATTCGCTTCCAATACGTTCTTAGTCGCAATTCAAGCAGTTTTTTCGTGCGATTCGAGAAGGCCGTTCGTTGCTCGCGTAAAGTCTTCGACGACGGCGCGATCCGTGGCTCGCGGAATAACCCATCGTTATCCGCTAAGCAATAATTCGTGCGGCGACAACTATGGCTCGCGGAAAAAGCGTCGCTTTTCGAGGAATTAAAACCGTGACTCGCGGATTCCTAAACGCTTTGTAAATAGCTGTGTTATAGACTTGTAAATATACTTGTAAATAGACAAACAAACTGACTTTGAAATAAGCCCCGCTCACGCGCCTCTACTTCGATCCTTCCTCCGCTCACGCACAAGTTTAGATGAAAATAATTGAATTTTCAACAATTTTTGTTCTCATTATTTCCATGCAATGATTGTTTTACTTAAGGTAGTCCTTTTGTGAGAATAAGTATTAGATATATAGGTATCTAAATTTGATATATGTTAAATATAAAGTAATAAGGGGCGTGTGTACAAAAAATCAGGTGAGGTTACCGACACTTTACAAGAAATAAGTCATTTTAAATATGCGTTCGCGGAGCGTGCTATTGTCATTCTATCCTTGTTTATATCTAATGAACGAGAAAGATAGAATGATGCAAATTGCTACGGCCGAGGTTTTCAACGAATAATACATGTATTACTTAGCGCTTAGATGAATACATTATTAATGTCTTAAAATGTTCCCTGAAGTTTCCGGATTTCATACGTACCTTGAAAATAAGGCTTGCCGAATGTTTTGCTCTGATATATAAGGTTAAATAAGTAGTAGATCCAATCGCATATTGCTTTACTCGTGGCTGCGCTCGGAAACGTCACCCGAGCGCACA